ACAACTCCTTACAAAATTTATAAATAAGTGTGCCTATAAAGAGAAGGATTCAAATCAATTCTAGATAGCTTAATGACTTCCTCTCATTCATGTAAAAAGTGAGTCCCTGGTTTACTAACTGGGGGACCCTATGTGTACAATTATGGAATACTATAGGGATAAATATTAAAGATTGGTGCACAAAAAATAAAAGGATGGATGTTCCTTCTATGACTTTCACAGCTTGAAATGCACTCAGGAAAGAACTGGCTAACAATCTGGACCCTAAGAACACACCAGATGAGAAAACATCCCTATTGTCACCCAGTCCAAAATTTAGTGTCAGAGACCAGCTTCAACAAAAATACCACTTTCCAGGGTAAGGACATGGGGATCAGAAAAATAGTAAAGAGGACAAAGACACGAGTGAAAATAATAAAACAGAAACATAGGATAGTACTGTGGGGATGTTTCATTGATTACTGAAATCACCTGTGTTTAATTTTCCATACACTTTTATACCCCAATACAAAAGAAGGAAGAAGGCAATGAAAGATTTCTTTAACATGATACAAAGGACAATTTGAACAGTTAATTGCTTCAATACTTTGAGACTATAAGTTATTAGCATTCTGTTGTATAGGCAGTGAAACCACTGTAGACCAAGTATCTTGCAGGAGCCACTGCCCAGGTTAAACCTCCTATTACAGAAGAAGGAGCAGAAATATGCTTGCATATCCTGACCATTGGTCAGGGTGGAGTGTATCCACCTGTATGGGCCATCTTAATGTCAAAAGAACCAAGTAAGCACATCATTGTTCAGGATGTATAGCCCTGGTTGTTGTTAACAATTTTGAGCAGCCTCAAACTCTCTGACCTTCAAACAAGGTGGAAGTAGGCTCACATTTTTGAACCTCCACAATCTAGGAAGAATGTTCATACTTTAATAACAGATCCCAATATAAACAGCTTAAAAAAGGATACTGATAAGTCAGAAAAAAACATAACCTCTAAAAATAAAACTAACTTAAACAACAGACTATCATAATTCCAAATGGCCTCCTGACAAATGTAAGGACAGACGAAGGGACCTCTAAGTAAAAGACAGATAATGGCAGGAACTGAAGTAAAACACTATAATCCTAACTGGTGCTCTTTGTTAAGTTTAACTAACCATAGAACAAGACCACCTGAAAACCTAAACAAGGGTCAATGAAGTGTGCCACGCTCTCTCCCAGCTTTACGGATCTGATAGCTCAGATCCCTGCCTGCCGCAAGTAGCTTTCTTTACTATGACTCCCCTGAGAACATAAATAAAAATGAATGGGATTTGCTATACTATCCCAGCTACTTTGCAACTCCAATCACTCTAAAAATCTCTTATCCTGCCACTAGGTACATATTTCTTTAGCTGTCTATTTGTCTTCTTATTAAATGCCCATCTAATTTCCAGGTATAGATAAAAACATAACCATAAAATATCTGTTTTTTGACTGACTTTAAATGTCTGAGTTTTTAGGTCCTTTCTGTTTTTCTGACAGCACAAAAAACACTATTCCTCCTCTTGTTACCCATAAAACAGCTGTTTTGGGTATGTTTTCATATGTTTTGGGTATATGATGCACTATATCAATTCATAAAATTGCCAATCTCTTTATATGTTGTATTTCTGGTTAAGAGCTTTCATTTCAATATTATAATGACTTCAATTCAAATTCTTATCTTTAAGGCTAAATTTAACAAAAATAAAAAATTTTCTGACTGTATAAAGACAACAGACTTAAATATAAACTATCAAAAATAAACATGTATACTTCTAAAACTTTTTAAAAAATGATGCTAACAAAAAATGATGCTTAACTTTTAGTGTTTCCCACACCACAGGCAGTCCTTATAATCCCCTTGCTCAAGCTGTTATGGAGAGAGCTTCTCATACTTTAAAATTCAAGTATTCAAGTTACAAAATGGAGATTTGAGATATGCATACCCCATTATTGTTTGGTTGGAAGCATCACCTCAGCTCCCTAATACCCCTTTACACAAAAAGTCTTAATTTTTTGCCTGGGCAAACTCCTGATATAAGCTCCCTCCCCTGGGAAGTTGCCTTAGTCCAAACTCCATCTTTGAGAAAGTCCTTCAGTGCCCTCTCCCCAGGGATGGTTAAGAAAGCCTGCCAAATGGTAACCCCTCCCAAGGGAAGGTCAGGACCACTCCCACAGACTATTTAAACTGCCCCCCCCAGAGAATGAACACATGGTCTCCAGGTTTCACATGGTCTCCCCTTCTCTCTCTTTACCTCTTCATGTTTTTTGGGGGCCCACCTGCGAGTATTGCATTAAACATGGGCATCTTTGATTCGGTCTGATTGAGATTATTTGTGCCAGTGGAGAGGTTTGTCTAAGAGAAAATGCCTAATAATTACGTTCTAAACCATGCTCTATAGGTAATAAACCAATAAATACCTCGGAGGACAGTATGAGTTCCTTCCTCAGATGCCTTTCCACAAAATCATTCCCAAACCTCTAGTCAAGTGAAAGGATCTCCTCACTGGACATTGGAAAGGTACAAATGTTTTAATAACATCAGGGAGAGGGTATGCTTGTGTGTTTTCCCAGGACATTGAATCACTTGTGGATTCCAGATCAGCTCATTAGACCCTATAGCCAACACACTGCAGACAAGATGCATTCCAAAGCTGCCAGCAGCAGCCAGAGAGAGAAAACTCCCACTGTTACAGCTTCCCTTCTCAGGAACCTCAGATGACCCTGAACACTGTCTCGAAAGGGGACACCAAAAGTCCACAACCAACTCCTGGCCATCCTAAATGTCTTCCCTGGAACAGAAGCCTCCTTTCATCCTTATAATACTACCTTCGTTAAAATATATGATAATAACCATTGTAAGTCAATGAAACACATTTGGTTGGGTCAGTCCCACTTATGTGGCCTAGTCCTCTCACTCCCTCACACTTCAGACTCTTTATATCATTTGCTGGTTGTCAGTGATCATGTTAGTCTTCTGTTACCTGTACAGCACACCTACAACTCAGTTGACATTCAGGCTTGTGTTCTGTTCCCTTTTGCCACCTTCTATACACGGAATACAGGAACTCTGAACATCATTCCTAATGGATCAATTTATGATATCTCCTGTAACAATTGTTATCTGACTAACTGCCTTAACTCCTCTACTAATCCCAAAATCTTCCTCCTTTTTTGTCAACCTCTGCATGTAATGTTACCTGTTAATCTCTCTTCACCCTTGTAAAAGACCCTGCCATGTTTGCCGTAGAACATGCTGCGAGTTTTTTCCTACATCCTATGTGATTCATTGCGGAGCTTGTCATCAGTATTACTGCTGTAATAGTAGCCATTGTAAGTTCTGTAGTCACCTCTTCTACAGCTTTGGTTCAGCAAATACACACTGCTAACCATGTCAACACCTTGTCTAAGCGTGTTTCTATAGCTCTGGTCACTAAGAAAGGAATTGATCAAGGATTAATAGAAGGAATAAATGCCCTAGAGGAAGCCTTCCTTTTTTTATGGGCGATCAGATCCAGAATATTAAGGTACACTTGACAACAGCATGCCATGATGATTTTAAATGGATCTGTGTCACTCCTCTACCTTTTAATTGCTCAGAAATGTCTTGGGATCAGGTACAGCCTCACCTGAGAGGTATCTAATAGTTCCCAACTAGGTAAAAATATAGGTACCTTATGTTCTCCGATCAGTGCTATTAGCCATTCCACATTCCAGCTTTCTTCTGCAGAGGATGTAGCTAATTATTTTGTTAGTTCAGTTAAGAATTTTGTTAACAATAATTCTTTATGAAACCTTATTAATTTGGGAATTAAAGGGACATTGATCATCTTGCTCTTACTTTTTATTCCACTCATCCTCAAACATCCAGGATCTGCTTTACATGTTGCCCAGAGAGAAACCCGCACACTTTATTAAATGAAAGAAGGGGAGCTGCTATAAACCATAAGATTATGCAGTGAGAGTTCAACACATTCTTCGGGGGGTCAACTCATGAGTGATGCTTATCTCATGTGGGACACCTCATTTAGCAAGGTGGTGAGGAATATTGTCACCAAAGATACACATCTCATTAACCTTATCTGCAAGACGATAAGGAATGCTGTCTTCTGAATGTGTTAAGATGACTCTCTTGCAGACTTCTTATGTGAAGAGCTCTTTCCCTCAGATTACAGCTTGGGAATTCTTCCCCCATCACTGCAGTGTTTGCCGAGCATAATCTTCCTTATTAATTGGTATATTGGATGACTTCCCCCAGCAGTACTTGATTCTGGCAAGAAAGTAATCATAATAAATGCCCTTGCTCTCTCAACCAGATCTTTGTATAAACTTAGAAGTCTACCCTCCTGCAATTATCTTCCTTGGCAGAGAGTTGGTCACTGTTAGAGTTCAGGCAAAGAGACATCATTTGATACACTCACAGATGCCAAAGAACAAGAGCGACAGTATTTCTGAACTTGTTGAGCCGTAGCTCTCAAGAGAGATAGAGAAAAAGAGTGTCCTAAATTTACTCTGTCAGCAGATAGGAAAGAGCTGCCCCACGACTGAATTATATTCTTCTCTTTTTAAACGGAAAAGGGTAAGCTGTCAGGAATGTTTATCACGAGCGATTGCAGGCCATGATGCAATTATAGTTTACTCTGAAAACTGTTGCTTTCATCTGTAATTTCACTTGTGCAATAACAGCTTTGATATCTCTCTATTACATGTATTTTCATATAATGTACATACAATCTTATGATTTCATCTCATTCTTAGGGGCACACGTTCCTGCAGATGGGAAATAGATGATTTTTCATTTAACTATATAGATTTGATATATACTAGGACATGCTTCATAACTAGATCTATTGTCCCATAAAGACTACAGACACCTGACAGCCTGCCTTGCTAACCACACACAATTAGTTCATTTTTTTACCTCAGAACAAGTTTAAGTTGACTAAAGACTTTTTGTAAAAAGAAAACTTTGCAGCTTACACAAGGCCAAAGTCACAGATGTCCAACCAAGGTTACTAAGAAAAAGCATTCCAAGTCTTCACTTGCCAGTTTACTGTGTCTCAAAGTTGTCATTGGGCACTGTGCAACTCCCCCTTCCCGGTCTGGTCAAGGTTTTGCTCCTATGGTCTTGGAACTTTTTGTTGCCATGGTGAGTGGCTCGCTCCTTATCATCACTTCAAGCCTTCTGTAGAAGAGTTTTTACAATAGAATAAGAAGCACGGAGAAGCTAGAGGTAGGACAGGATTATTAGAGTAGAAACAGAACAATATTGAATGAAGAGCATTAGCCTGTCTGTGTGAAGTCACTATCGAAACACATTTCACCTGCTTTACTCCTGAGAAGCATTTCACATTTGGAACCCTGGGTAGGTCTGGAGCCAGACTATTAGCCCCTACACAAGGCTCTATTCAGCCATGAATGAGACAGCCAGAGTGAGAATGTGGACATGAGCTCCAGCCAGTTTCTGTCTGACAAAAAGAAAAGCAGCAATCTGAGGGAGTCCACTCCCCAGGCCCAGAGAAGCAGTCCCTTAGAGGAAATATTGCCTTACAGCTTGGACTAAGTCCTTCAAAGACCCTTTAAAGATCAAACCCAAACCGGGCAGTGGGGATACCTCAGGCTATGGGAATAAGCGTTAAAAAGGACAATGACTCAATTACATAGACTGCCTTTTGCTTGATTTGCTTTAGATCATAGGGAATCCCTGTTACTGGGGTATGAAATACTGATACGATGCAGAAGACCTTCTTCAAGGGAAACCTGAAGGCATGTTTTTGCTCAGGGACTCTTTGCAGGACGTCTCCCTGTTCTCTGGGAGCTTCAACTGCCTCAACAGATCCCTGCACACCCAAATCAAACAGTGGAACCACAACTTTACTACCAATACCCATGACCCTTGTGTGTTCCACTCCTCCGTTGTCACTGGGCTTCTGGAACATTATAAAGACCACAGTTCTTGCATGTGTTTTGAACCATTGCTTGCAGACCAGGCTGGCCTCAAACTCACAGAGATTCGCCTGCCTCTGCCTCCTGAGTGCTGGAATTAAAGGCGTGCACCACCACCACCCGACTATATGATAGTTATATGATAGCTCCCTCATTATCCACTGATGTTTCTTAGGGTCTCCGTTGACTGGCCGGAGCAAGAACGTAAAAAAAAAAAAAAAAAAAAAAATCGGCCTTTTGACACAGCCTAACAAACACCATCTCTGGCTGTGGTCTCAACTAGCTGATAAGCTTCTGTGCCCCAAGGTGTTTCCCAAGGTGTTTTTTTTTATTTTTTTAATTTTTAAGTTTGCTTCTGGTTTATTAGACTTTGGTAGTCTGCCCCCATTTTTGTGCGACCCCCCTGGACCCAACACTTTGCTACATCTGGAATGAACTACAATCCAAAAACAGAAGACACACCTGTAAGAGATCATTTTTCCTTAGTTTGAAGTCTGTGAATCCACTATTTGTCCAGACCTCAGAGGTAGGAAGTAAAATGCCTTAATACATACTGCCGGGGGCTGGAGAGATGGCTCAGAGGTTAAGAGCATTGCCTGCTCTTCCAAAGGTCCTGAGTTCAGTTCCCAGCAACCACATGGTGGTTCACAACCATCTTTAATGGGGTCTGGTGCCTCTTCTGACCTGCAGGCATACATACAGACAGAATATTGTATACATAATAAATATTTAAAAAAAATACATACTGCCATGTGAGACCACAAGCTATAGCCACACCGTTTTTTTTATTACCTCTGCTTTTTTATTTAAAACCTTCTAATCACAAAATTAGGAGAATTCCTGAATCTGCTCCTCTGTTAAAAGCCATAGACTTACCCATTATTGGCTGTTTGACTCATGGGTCAGTTAGCTTCTAGGCATCTCAGTGGTACACAATCTCAGTGGTAACGTAGACCATTGCTAGGCCAACACCGCATTTTCTTCATTCTTCTCACCTGCTCAGTAGCAGCAGAGTCTGTGGCTAGGTGACCAAAGCACTGCCACTTGCACGCATGAAGGCCAGGGCACACTTTGTCCTCTCTGAGTCCTGGAGCAGTCCAAAGGCGGCAGCAGATACATCACCAGCACGGAGGCAGGAATATATTTACAAACTCTAAATATCTCTGTCTTTGTTTTTGCTTCTCTTTAGCTCCTCTAGCTATGAAAATACATCCAAGAAACTCTAAAGATAATTGAATACTATTTACGTGTCCCATATCAACAAATATTTACAGTTTTACTCCCATTTTTTTGTTTATTTTTGAGCATCCATTACTCGCCTCTCCATCTGTGGTGCAGTTTTCTTGGGGAGTCCCTCCTGTACTCACTTGTACACCTGGCCACACTTTTGTGCATTCTGGGGGTTTACCAGTCAGTCCCTCATTGTGGTGCCATATGTCGGGACCAGCCTTGTCAAAAATACCTCTTGCCAGGGTAGGGGCATGAGGATTTAGAAATATAAGTAAAGAATATGAAGCCATGTGAAAAAATAAACTAGAAACCATATAATAGTACTGGCAGGGCATTTCAATAAATACTGAAACCATTTGCATTTAATTTTCTATATGCTTTTACACCCCAATACAAAAGGGGGAAAGAAGGCAACAAAAGACTTCTTTTCTTTCCTTTCCTTTTCTTTTAGTTTTTTTGGGACAACCTCGTGGTGATACACAGATTAATAGAAATGGGTTAAATTAAGATGTAAGAGTTTGCCAATAAAAAGTTAAAGCTAATGGGCCAAGCAGTGATTTAATTAATACAATTTCTGTGTGGTTATTTCAGTTCTGGGCAGCTGGGACAAACAAGTGGGCCCTGCTCCTATATTGTATAATCTTGCAAAGTATGCATAACTTTTTATTAACATGTCATGACAGCCTACTTGATAAACACGAGTAAACATATGGATATTATTTCTATTGTTATTAAAGATGTCTATCCCACTGAATTGGAAACTACAATTGAAATAGATGTTTCCAGATCCACATAACCTATGAAATTTAAACAAGATGAAATAAATATGTAAACACAAGTAGCAATGAGACTGAAGCAGTAATAAAATGGCCCACAAACAACCCCACGACCAGACTGGCAGGATTCTATTAGAACTTCAAAGAAGAACAGCAAAACTACATAAATACTTGAAACAAAAAGGAAGACTTCCTGTCTCTTAGTATTACCTGATAATAAACCAGGTACTGATACAACCAAAAATAAATTACAGACTGTTGCACTAATATAAACATTTCTATAATTAGTTCTCTCTCTCTCTCTCTCTCTCTCCCAACCCCCCCCCCCACACTCTTACCTCTCTACTATTCTAGTCTACATTTCCAACGAATTGTTCATCTCCATTTATTTTTCTTGGGCACACTGAGATTAACCACGGCCATCTGTGAGTTTGAACCTATGTGTTGGCGCCTGGAGGATTCAGCAGAGGTCTACACCTAAAGACAGTGAGTGATTCTTTTCCTCTAATCCATCCATGGCCAACGTTTGAGACGTAAAGAGTGGGCCCTGTGAGCCTTTCCCTTTCCTAGACTGATTGTGGTCTAGTGTGAGGTCAGTACAGGTAAGTACAGTTGCTGTTGCTTAGTGATTACAACAGCTGTATGTTGTCTTGAGAATGGCATGTTTTAACTCTTCTTCCTAAAGAAGGTAAAGACCTTCCTCCCTTTGCTCCTCCTCTTTTTCAGTGTTCTGAGAGCCGTAAAAGGGATGGTGTAACTGACTTTTCGGGGCTGGGAACACATATCTTACTTATTTTCTGCATTTGGGACAGCAAGAGTCTGTGCATTCACCAGTGCAATAAAAAAAAAAAATTCTAAACTGGCCTACGGTGGTGCACTCATCCCTTTAATCCCAGCATTCGGGAGGCAGAAGCAGGCGGATCTCTGTTCAAGGCCAGCCTGGTCTACAGGAGCTAGTTTCCAGGACAGACAGGCTCCAAAGCTACAGAGAAAAAAAAAAATGTATATTTTATCTCAGAGCACCTTTTAACAAGGCTTGTTCGCGAGCTATTAAAATGACAAGACCACCATCTAGTGGTGAGAGCCCTACAGCGCGGGAAGAACTCAGCACTGGGCTTCTTAGCAAGGACTTCTGAAGACACCTATTTCTTTTCAAAATCTAAACTCCTAATTGTTCCCCAAGGAACAATTGTAGTATATATTTTTGGCTTCTCATGTTTGTGTTTGCGATGGGATGCTGGCATCAGAATTTAGCGTGTCATCGTTTGGTGTAAGTATGTATGTAGCCCAGGCAGCTGGTAATCAAGGCGAGGTAAGGCTGCTCATCTTTTATCTGAAGGGTTCAGAACTCACTGTGGGGTCAGACACCGGGATGCAGCGTCCTCCTAGATCCAGTTCTGGTCATGGCTGGCAGCAAGCATGTGGGGAGGCTGTGCAGAGAGGGTCCAGGGCATCCTGACAACTGGAGCTGGGTGGAAGGCAGTCTGAGATGTACTAGGACTGACCAGTCAAGATGGGGCGGGACACTCACACGGAAAAGGGCAGTTGCGAGGATGTGTCCCATTGGTTGGACGCAGGGTAATTCTGGTGGTTGGGAGGGGCTGGAGCAGTGACGTAAACGGAAGCTGGGACGTAATGTGAGCCCGGCGAAGTTGGAAATCTGTGTCAGCAGTGCCAAAATTCCATTCCCTGTCGTTCCTCCTGAACGTGGGACCTGCAGCGTGGGAAATCGTATGGTTCGGATCTGGGTGCGGAGGATACGGCGCGGTGACGTGGAAACACGAAAACTCCCCGGAGCCGCGGGGCCGCCTGAAAAAGTCAGCAGTTAGCAGCGCTGTGGCGGGAACCGCAGCCCTGCCTGTGGCCCCGGAACCTCCCAGGTCAGAGGAGCTGCGGGACTGGGACACAGCAGGGATAGGACCAGGGACGCAATCAGTTTCTCTGCTGTTGATAAGGAAGCCGGCTCTGAGGTTCTGCTGTGAATGTCTTCTTCCCTTGGTGTATTTTAGATCATATAGAATAAACCTACTGTCTTTCAGTTGGTCTTCTGATTGCAAAATATTCTTGTAAAAATAATCTAATGGAATATTTGAATTTATCTTGAAAGATCCCCGATTCGGGTGTCTTCCCCTCGGGGACCCCGACGCCCAAGAACCAAGACTAGTCCTCACTGGATGTAAAAGCAAGAGATATTTTTTATTTGTTCACACGGTTGCCCGTGGACTCTGCAGCTTTCGGGTGGCGGCAGAAGCGGATGTATTCTCAATGGTTATTTCAGATAAGACGATGGGAAGCGGGCTTACAGAAGCGGATACACTCTCAATGGTTATTTCAGATAAAACGGTGGGGCCAGGTCAGAGACGGGCTGTCTATTCATCTTGAATACATGGGAATAAGTTAAGGCAGCCAACTCTGGGCTTCCTGCTCCCTTTTTGTCTTCCTGTCGGCCGAAGGCTGACCTCCAGGTATCTGACTACAGATATCCTGTTTTCTCATCATCAGGGACCCATCTGGTCTCAGGGTGACAGATATCCTGTTTTCTCATCATCACGGACCCATCTGGTTTCAGGGTGATTATGCTGGCCTGGGAACAGCTTGACCTGGTTTTGACTATGGCTATAATGGAAATTCCCCGAGGCAGACGGGCGGGGGTCTTTCAATCTGTTGAGATTTGCAAGCACAATTCTCTTTGATATGGTGGAAAACGCAAAGCTCTTGAAGTTTACCATCATGTATACCGTGTTATATCACTTCTCTATTCAAGAAACTACTGACACTCTTACCTGGAGACTTGGAGTCGCTGAGAGTTTTACATAACAGTCATTAAAGGAACACCTGCAAATTTCATTGAGTCTGAAAGTATATATATATTTCTTTTGCAAGTTCCACAGTATCCTTGTAAACATTAACTTGTAAAAGTAAGCTTTATCCACCATTAATTTTCCATCTGAGACATATGCACACTGGGATGTAAATACAGTATTCTGAAAAGTGTCTGCCTGGCCTTGTGGCACAGGCTTTTAATCCCAACACTAAGTAGGCAGAGGCAAGTGGATTGCAGTCAGGTTGAGGCTGGGAAGGGGTACATAGCAACTTCAAGGACAGTCAGCACTACACAGGAAAAGCCTGTGTCCGGGGAAAATAGAAAAGAAATATAAATATATTATATTATAGAATAATATTAGAGAGCATCCTTTGAATAATTCTGATAACACATCTATATCAGAAAAGTGTCTATAAGAGTCTTGTCTCTTTGGTTCCAAGTAAAGCACTCTGTTCATGGACAAATGATCAAACTGTTTTTTTGGTTCTTGTATTTGATGTGTTGAGACCTGAACTCACAGTGTTGCTCTGTCTAGCACAAACTTATCATGTAGATGAGAATGAACTGGAAAACACAGAGTTCCACCCACCTGTTTTTCCCAAATGCTAGGATTAAATATTTGCACTAACAGGACAATTCAGACTGTTGTTTTTCCTTTTGTGGTATGTTGACAGCCAGTGGTGTGACTGTAGACTTCTCCCAGGAGGAGTGTACTAGGACTGGATGTTGCAGAATTGCAGCAGTCTGGTTGTAGCTAAGAATAGTTTGTTTGCAGCCTTACTTTCTCCTCCTCAGGGTTTATTGACAAATTAATCTGTAAGTGTGTGAGCTTTGTGTGAATGAGTCTCACATCCCACAGAATAATATGAAATCCTCAGAGGATAAAAAAGAAATTTTTCATGAAATGTTCTTGATGTGGGATTATCCTCTGTATGCTGTGACTAATTTTTATTACCATTGGTTAATAATGGTGCTGCTTCAGCCTATGGCAAGGCAGGATAAAGCCAGGCCGGAAATCCAAACAGAAATATAGAGAGAAAGAGTAGGCAGAATCAGGAAGATGCCATTTAGCTGCCAAAGGAGACAGATGCCTGAGCCAGAACCTTACTTGTAAGCTACAGCCTCATGAAGATACACAGGTTAATAGAAATGGGTTAATTTAAGATGTAAGAATTAGTTAATAAGAAGCCTGAGCTAACAAGCCAAAACAGTATTGTAATTATTAAAGTTTCTGTGTGGTTATTTGGGTCTGGGCTGCCAGGAAATGAACAAGCAGCCTCTGCTTACATGTTCCCTATTCTTCCTATATGTCCTTTTGACAGGTGTAAGGTTTCGTTGTTATTGGTCCATGATCAATTCAGGACCTCACTAATGCATAATGTTCTCTTCTCAATCACTCAGTTCCATTTCTTTTCCTAAGTTTTTATGGAGTCGTGATTAGAAGTGGGACTCAAGAGATTCTAACTAAATGTGCTTTCCAAATATTTTCAGTATTCTGACACTGCACAACAATTGGGGAATCACTTGTGTAATCCTGTATTTAGTTTTCTCTTCATCTACTGGGCACAGTACTGTGTGATAAATACAAATACTTCCTGAAGAATCTCTTTCTCATGTGCAGGGCTCACTGATCACCCAGACCTGCTCACCTGTGCAGCAGGACAAAGGGCCTGGAAGGAGATATGAGACAGCAGCTAAGGATGCAGGTATGGTGGAGGGATTGGTGAAGGAGAGGAAAGGGGATCAACTGAATGTGGAAGTGGGAAATCAGTTTTGTCACTTCCTGTTTCACTAGAAATAATTCTGGAAACTTCCACTGAGAAAATCTCTTCTGTTGTCGTAATGTTGGCATGAGAAGACTTTCTACAGAAGAATTGATAATGGAGTCAAATTTTTATTTGACTATGTTTGTGAGTGATGCTGTCTTTATTCACTCATCTCTGATCGTGTTTTAATAACATTAAATCATTTGCATTTCTTTGATTTTAATACCTTATAAAAACGATAAAAATTAAACCTCTAGGTTTATTTAGTGTTTTAAGAATTTTTGAGGTTTGGCATTATAGCATATTCTCTACATTTCTGTGTTTTTGTATCCATTCCTGAAAATAATGCCAAGAAAATTTTGAGAGGGATCAGGAAGTACATTTACAGCCTGCTAAAATCCCATCTTTGCTGTCTCCTATTGTCTGGTAGCAATTAGGATAAATATTTAGAATGCAGTAAGGACTTAGGCTGATTTAGTAAAGTACTGATTGTAGTTTCTCTAAGATCCATGCCTCTACTGTTCCTGGGGAAACTGGCCAGGTTTCCAGTACCAAGCATGATTTTCCTCTTGTTGAAAGAGTCTTAATCCAATTAGAAGCTGTTGATTACCACCAACGTATGTGTGTCACTCTTGCACACTTAGGGCTATCGTGCAGTGCAGATCATTGTTGTGGGTCATAGGAGTCACAGATGGGTAGGACATCTGATTGGCTACCTCCTGTGGTAAGTTGCATGTTGCCTTCTGGTGCCATGAAAGCTTGTCCCCAGGTAGAAAACTTTAATATCCGTTCTATCTCAAATCTTTTAGGATTTGTTTCTGAAGAATGTGGCTTCATCAACACTAGTCACTCAACTTCTGCCTCTAGGAGTCATCCATGGGCAAAAGCTGTACTTGTTAACTTTTGGAAGTCTCTTTGACAAATGTGACCAACAACTTCAAAACAGGCAGGTTTCTTAGACCAGGTGTTGGTCTATGTTAGAAAATCTATGCCTCTTGTGAGGAGAATCATGAGCCCTGTTGGGAAATTTTCATTTATACTCTATGTATATGTATTTTAGGTTTGTTTTTTGTTTTTTGTTTTGTTTTGCTGGATGGATAATAGTCAAGGAATAGATGGTTTCCTTATGATGTTTTTAGACATCCTTACTGTTTCCTGTCTCTACTCCATAATTAAATCCTCACTCTCTTTTCTCATTTTACCCTTTAGATTACTTGTTCCTTGTTACTCTGTCTGTACTATTCCCCCACACCCTACAATGGTCTCCTTTTATTTTCAGGTTACTGCATTCACTCCAGGTTGTGTACTCACATCTGAAGATTTGAAGCTAGGAACATCCTGTGAGAGAGAACATTCATTGTCTGTGTTTCTGGGTCTGGGTTACTTCACTTAATATGATCATTTATAAGTCCATCTATTTACCTGCAAAGGTCATAGATTTTAAATTTCTTCACAGATGAATCATATTCCATAGTGTATATTGCCACACTTTCACTATCCATTTGCCAGTGGAAGGACACTTATGTTGTTTACATTTTGTAGTTATTGTGAGTAGAGCAGCAATGAACATGGCTGAGCACATATCTGTGGAGTAGGATGTTGAGTCCTTTGAGTGTACACCAAGGAATGGAACTGGGTCATGTACTGAATTTATTTATCTTGAGGGTTTGTTTATTTAATTGAGGATTCTCTGTTTTGGTTTTTCAGTGTGACTTGTTTTGTTGTTGTTGTTATTGTTGTTCATGGCATTTTTATTTACTACAGCTTTGTTTTTATGCTATTGCAGGTTGGATTACTAGTAGGTAGTATTTTTCTTCCTTCTTTTTGAGAAGTAGTGGTGTGCTGTCTTGCTCATTGATGATTTTTTTCCAGTTCTCCTATATCTATTTATTCTTAACATAAAATTTTTATTTCCCCTTTTCTCATGGATAATTCTGCTGAATCTCCTGTGTATGTTTTGCCTCTAATTTATTATCTGCAGTGCCCTTTTAATGAAATTAATTGTGTTGATTGGTGAGTGTCTTGAAATGCACTTATGTCCCCATCAATTTTAAGAGAGTAGTTTTCTTTGTATAGCAATATGCTTGGTGGTGTTTTTTTTTTTTTTCCAAGCTTCAAACTTCAAATGTCTTCCCATGCTCTCCTGTTTTTCGGATCACTGACCTGACATCTGGTAGAATTCTGTTGCTTGCATGTTTTCCTATGTTTTGACATTGTTCTTTAACAGCTTTTGATATTAATTTTAATCTTTTCCTTTTTGACTCCTTGACTTGAAAGGGAAGCAAGCTCTCTATTCATTGTTTCTGAAAGAGAAACTCAAGGAAGACAAACAGTAAGAATGGCTGATTCTCCAGTAAATATGTCACAGGTTAGTGGTCCTTTCTACCCTTTATCTAAAATTCTTATACTTTGATACATTGAAAGCTTTTAATTTTCTGCTCCTGATAATTTTTTAAAATTTTATTATAAACAATTCTGTAAAGAGACAAATAACAAAAATCACACACTTAAATTAAACAGACCCTACAAATCAGTGTTCTTTTATATAGTTACAGTCATCACAGGGAACAGAAGCTCTGGAGCCTCATGTGGATTTTATATTTTCACAATCCAATATATTTTTTATTTACTTATCCACCACCAAATTCCCCCAAAACCTTTGATAGAATTATAATTCTTCACTACATTGTGCTAGAGGGCCTGGCAGATCCATATGGGATTGTATGTGTGCTATGTATATGGAATTATTCCTATTCCTGATTATTTCTTGTAACTGAATAAATAATAAAATCAGTTCTGTATCATCTGTCATAATTCAGCAGTTTCCAATGTGCAATACAACTCTTTCTGTGTATTGCAGATCAGTAACTATATTAAGAGATTCCTTAAAATCCATTAATACTAGGAGAATATTATATAATTCTGACTTTTGGACAGAGACACAAGAGTTTTGAACCACTTTACTTAAATTTTCTGATTTATAGCATGTCTTTCTTAATTTATTTGCATAGGTATAGAATGTAGGGGCTCCAAATATTGGGGTTCCCTGTACAATGGGAGGAAGAATCCTGTTAGTTCTCTGTATAAATTTTATTCTCTTGCTTTTGGGATATTTGTTGTTAATCTTTCCCCCAAATTACAGCAAATTCTTTCCCAAGGTTTATTTTCTGCCCATAATTTGTTTGTCAATTTCATCATTTGTGAAAAGTACAATTTCTGCTGGGTCTATTCCTGCTAATTGATGAAGTTTCAATGTTCCTTTAAGAATTAATTCAGAGAACTTTTTCAAATAAGTTTTTAATTTTTTACTCTGTTTATGTGGTAAAAAGATCTGTTTATGTGGTAAAAATAATATAATATTTTCCCTCTGCATTAATATCCCTATAGGAAAATTCTTAGAGGACAAAATAACCAAAATGCAGTCATACTTTGAATCCAAATGATCTACATTTGCACTCTGTAATTTCTTTTCTACCAAAGCCAATTCTTTCTCAGCTCCATTTAGTAATTCTTTTCAACTATCTAAGTCCTTGTCATTTCTAAGGTTTTAAACAAACTACTCAGTTCATCATTTTTTACCCCAATATTGTATTATAGATAGGGAATGGTTCCTGTTAATCTTTGAAAGTTATTAAGTCTGAAATCAATCTTTCCTAATTTGCATCTTTTGGGCTCTAATTTTTTAGACCTATTTTATATCCTAAATAATTAATAGAAGCTTCTCTTTCTATTTGTTCAGAAGCAATTTGTAATCCCCAACAAGGCAAAATTTTCTTTACTTATTCAAACATTCTACTTCATCTACATTCGAGTTATCTAGTAAAATATTGTCTATATAACTGTAAACTATACATTGACGAAATTGCTTATGTATCATTTTCAATGACTGACATACAAAATATTGGTAAAGGATGTCATATGGATTTGACATTCCATATGGAGGACTCTTTCATTGATATCTCTTACAAGGCTGAGAATTATTTTAAGTAAGTGCCATGAAGGTAAATTTTTATTTTTTATGTAAAGGTACAGTGATGTAGCAATCTTCTAAATCAGTAACTATAAGAGGCATCTTTTAGGCAATAGAGAAGGCAAAGGAATTCCAGACTGTAGAGAGCCCTTTGACTGAATCACCTTATTAAGAGCTCTTAGATCTGTTACCATTCTCCATTTTCCAGATTTCTTTTTAATAACAAATACAGGAGAATTCCAATGGCTGATTGAGTCTTCAATATGCTGAGCATTTAGCTGCTCCTGTGCCAGCTGTTCCAAGGCCTACAGTTTCTCTGTTGTTAAAGGTCATTGCTTAACCCATACAGGTCTGTCAACTATTTTAAAGGTAGGATTGTTGGTACTGTTGAAAGATCAACAACTGTTGTGCCCTGTTCTTGTGTAATCTGAATCATTGGTGACTTTTCTTTATATTATCTTGTAATATCTTTCCCAGAAACTAACATTAATTTATGGTTTGTTTCTAATGTTAATCTGAGTAATCCATTGCTGTAAAAAATAATATCCCCATAAATTCATTGCTATATTAGCCACATATGGCTTGAGTTTTCCTCCCCATAAATTCATTGCTATATTAGCCAAATATGGCTTGAGTTTTCCTCTTTGTCTTTCTTGTGCTGTACATTTGACTCATCTTATGTTCTGTTTTACCTGAGATAATGTTTCAATACCTAAAAGGTGAACATTTACCACCTGAAGAGTCCAATTTAGATGTCCATATTCTGGTGCAATTATTGTTACATCTGCACCTGTGCCTACAAGACCATCTATGACAATGCTATTTATTCATATTTTTAATTTAGGTCTTTGTTCATTTATAAAAGTTTGCCAAAATATTTGCTTAATTTTTTTTCCTGAATTTTTTGATCTCTTTGTTATATCTTTTCTATCATCCAGAGCAGTATGATTTTGTTGGGGGAGGTTGCTTTTTCGTTCCTGGCTTCTCAGACTCAAAATTATCACACAGAAACTGTATTAATCAAATCACTGCTTGGCCTATTAGCTCTAGTTTCTTATTGGCTAGCTCTTACATCTTAAATTAATCCATTTCTATTAATCTGTGTATTGCCATGTGGCTGTGGCTTACAGGCAAAGTTCTGACATGTCTGTCTGCTGAGGGCAGCTACATGACTTCTGACTTTGTCTACTTTCTCTCTCTCTCTCTCTCTCTCTATCTATCTATCTATATATATATCTTCCAGCCCGGCTATATTCTATTAAGTCATTGGCTGAAAGCAGATTCTTTATTAAACAATGAAAGCAACACATGTATAGAAGGACTTCCCACACCATATTTCTTACAATAAGCATTAGGTTCTTAATTGCTCTGGGAAGTAGTTTTCTCTATGATGACAGGAAATGACTGAACCAAATTTGGCATGGGGACCTGTAAGGGGCCATTCAAGGTATTTCCTTATTACAAAGGAAGGGTTACCTTGACTGTCCCTTTTTGATCTACATTCATTTGTCCAGAGCCTACCCTTGCCACACCTTCTGCATAATTCATAAGGGAGAGGAGTTCTGATTGGATTATGCTTTGAAAAAATATCATTTCTTGGAATGTCCTGTTTATAATCCCTTTTTAGGTGACTTGGTTTACTACATTTAAAACACTGACATTTTGATTTTCCTTTAAACCTCTGGAAATCACCTCTCCTATCCAAGCATCATCATGGTCAAGAGATTCAGTATTGATTGTATCTCATTTCCCTTCCTCCAAGGGTGCTGATGTTTCCTTTAATGGCCTAATTACCCTTTTGTATTGTGCATTAGCATTTTCAATAGCCAGAGATCCAGTTATTATTTGTCTGAATTTGGTATTCTATTTATTGCCAAAGTCAGTCTTTGTAATAAATATGTGAAAGTTTGCTTTGAGCCCTGTAAATGATTGCATTTTCTTTCCTACCTCTCCAGTTCTGTCCCAAGCATTCAAAGCCTCTGTATGGCACAAAACCAAGGTGTGGTCCTCATATAGAGATTGCCATTTATGTTGGCATAATCTCCCTCTCTGAGTTGGGTCTTGGGAGATTTCTATACCTCTAGCCCTACTTTATTTTTCAAAGGCCTTAGCATCATCTTTCTCACAGGTGTTCCATTATAAGTGAGAACTAGGCTCCAAGACAGCTATAAACAAATTTCTCCAGTATTTTATTTTATTTTATTTTGGTTTTTTGAGACAGGGTCTCTCTGTAGCATTGGAGCCTGTCCCGGAAATAAGTTCTGTAGACCAGACTGGCCTTGAACTCATAGAGATCTGCCTGCCTCTGCCTCCCAAGTGCTGGGATTAAAGGTACGTGCCACCACCATCCGGCTAAATTTCTCCAGTATCGAGGGATAATTCTATTATAAGTTGAACATGAGTGTAACATCTGCTTCATAAAAGGTGAATGCATGCCATATGAGACCATTGCTTCCTTGAATCTCCTTAGATCTAACATTTCCCCAGGAGTCCATTTAGCTCTTATACAGCCTTAGGGATATCTATCATTTGGCTGTTGTTTATGTAAGGTTACTGGATAAATTAAAATTGACTGTTTGAAAACCTTAGTCTGTTCCTCTCTAAACTTAAAATGCAATGCTGAGATTATTTTCCCTTTAAAGTCATCTGTCTGGGACAAAATAGCTCTATGGTCTGTTTTAATAAGTTTTTCTAAAAATTGTATCTTAGCATTCAGATTAACCAACATTTTTAGTGATAAAACAAAAATGATAAAAACTGGTGTTTATAATTGACATTACATAAACCCCATCTAAATTAGTTATCCTCTCATTTAATTGTTCCATTCTCAAACCATCCAACATATTTGCAGAGACCTAACTCCCTCCATTGTAATAATGTTTCTCATCTGGTGACAATGACGGTGAAATGTGAGGTGTAGGACATCTGAGCAGAGAGCACAGGCAGTAAACAACCAGGCTGAGGACCACTAAACTGCTAGAATGTAACTGTGAGCTGAAAGAGTGGTAGCTTGAGGATAGGCGATCTAGGGGAAGCTTACAACCCACAATGAAGAGGGAGCTGATTGTCTAAAAAATGCACAAGGGATTGTGCAGAAGAAACATGTGTAGCTGGAGCTGCCTGAAGGCAGAGCCAACAGGTCTATGGCAGGTAAGTCCTGTGGCCTTTGGAATGCAGGCACTTCTGGAGTTTGGGTGGCAACAGGAGACTGTTGTAGAGAGACTGCAACAGGAAAATCCTAAACTCACTAAGAAGCTTGGGAAAAAAAGAAAAGACAACCTACCCAGATGGTTGGTGACTCCAGCAGGAACCCTCACATGCATTTCCAGGGTGTGCCAGTTGCAGCAGAGCACAGGCAAGCAGTATTTTTGTGAATTCATGCTCTGAAATTGGGTTCCAGTTGTTGCAGGGGTTCTAATTGGTCTTAATAATAAAAACCTGGAGAATGTATCAGGATAAATGCTTAAAGATCAGTGAGACAAAGGAGCAAGCCATAGCCAACTCTTACCTTGCTAACTCCTCAGCCAAAAAAGGGTCCGAGTTCCTGTCTAATCATGCATTATATTCCTTGCTCTGCCAAGCTATTTCACTTACTGTCTGTCTGTACAGAGCTCTACACCTCTATGGTTATCTAATGGCTAGCTCCACCCTCTGATCTTGAGGCAAGCTTTATTTGTTAGAGCACAAACAATATTACCACAATTGGCCATTTGAGTTTCCTCCATTTGAAAAGTATCTATTTACTTCATTTGCCCATTTGTTGATTGGCAGTTTTATTTCCTCATTTTTAATTAATTTAATTTTTGATAGATTCTTGCTATGGGCATTATCAAAAGTGTCACTGGTATAGATTCTCTTAACTATACCATAAATATATTTTGATGTGTTTTTGAACTTCTCTCAATTTTTATTACTCTTTGGGAGTGAAGTGAAATATCCTTCTAAACCTCTGAAATTGTTATTTGTCTTTGTTGGACTGTATATATCTCAGGGAAATTTTGGATTATATCAAATATGCTGATGTAGATTTTTCTGCCTGTTCATACTCTCTCAAATATTCTCATAAAATTAGTTCCATAGAACGCTTATCTTATAAGTTTGTTAAAATCAAGAGATATAATGCTGTTCCAATCCTTCCTAGCGTGGAAAAATCAAAACTCTTTGTGTATAAATCAGTCAAATATTCTGCCTTCCATACCTACACTTTTACTATTTAATGGTGTGGAATTAATCCTAGAGTTTTTGTTGTCTGAAGTTTTCTGTCCTGCCCAGTTCCTGCAATCGTTAAGTCCCAAAGAAATCACACATAGGTCTACATTAGTTACAAACTGATTGGCCTAGTATCTCAGGTTTCTTATTAACTCTTATAACTTGTATTAGCCCATTATTCTTATCTATGTTAGCCACATGGCTCAGTATCTTGTTGCTTCTTCTGTGGCTGGTCAGGAGGACTGCAGAGAAATGGGCTTCCTTCTTCCCAGAATTCTCCTGTTCTCATCAACCCGCTTCTACTTCCTGTCTGGTTGTCCCACCTATACTTCCTGCCTGACTACTGGCCAATCAGCATTTATTTAAAATATAATTGACAGGATATAGACATTTGTACCGCCCAACTGAGCCTGTTAGAATAGAGTCAAGTAAGGCCCAAGTATACACAGGCTTGATTGTTGTCGGTATTTTACCATGATCTACAAGTACAGCACTTAAGGCACATTACTTCATCATGAATTTTACTTCTGAGACATGTCTGCTGTGATCATGTGCAGCATAAGCACAGCAACCATAACAGATAGAAAACCATGTCCATGCCTTAAATATGTGTCTTGTTTCTTGTATACTGCTTATAAGATTATTTTATCATCCTGTTTTCACAATGTTAGAACATTCATGATAGAATGTGACTGTATTGAAAATCATCTTTTTGAGTAATTATCATCGCTTGCCCACATTCCATCTCCTTATAACCAGCAAAACACTTCCAGGTAGCACATGGTCAAATAATATTTTTGGTTTCAGGGTCTGTTGACATTCGGGGATGTAGCTGTGGACTTCCTCCAGGAGGAGTGGGAGTACCTGGACTCTGCCCAGAGAGCTTTGTATATTGATGTAATGTTGGAAAATTATAACAACCTGGTCTCTGTGGGTAAGAACATTTTGCTTGTAGAATTCTTAACCCATTTTTTTTTTTTGTTCTGGCTTCATAGGATGTAAAATCTGTTAAGCTGTCCTTGAAATACCAGGAGACAAAGCAAAGTTTAGTAGTAGGAAAGAACTTCATGCTATTTAGGTTTCTTTTTTCCATTTTCCATTTCAGAGGTGTCATATACTCTTCATTTTGGTGCCAAGATTCATCTATAAGTGCAGTAACATATAGTATTTTCACTCAAGTTTTCTTTTATAAAAGATTTATTTATTTATGTATTTATTTATTACTTATATAATGTTCTACCTGAATGCCAGAAGAATGCATCAGATCCCGTTATAGATGATTGTGAGCTCCATGTGGTTGCTGAGAATTGAACTCAGGACCTCTGGAAGAACAGTTAGTGCTCTTAACCTCTGAGTCATCTCTCCATCCCATCTATTTATATCTTAACATTTGCAGTTGACGTTGTTTAGTTGTTAGAAAAAATTCATGATATACAAACTGGAAATATTTAGAAATATTAAAATCCTGAAGATTTTGACAAGAAATATCAATTGAGAAATCTTGTTTAAATTCTTCTGCTTTGTATTTTCATCTACTGAGCCCAGTATTGTGTTAGACTTCTGTATTATTTTTTAAAAGTTCGAGCATATGTCAGGGAGTACCTCAAAGAACATGTGGATATTGTATGCAAGGTAGGCCTAGTCACCTGCCCAGAGAAAATAAGATTTCGCCAGAATGTGGAGATGAGAGAGGGTAGCTACAACTAGGATGGGCTAGTAATTATGTAGGAGAACAGTGAAGACTTCAAGGTAAATAAAAAGCAAGAGCCGCGAATGTTTTGTGATATTCAATTTCTAAAAAGATTCTTGACCATTTAACTTATTATACAGTCTTGGCCCCAGGATGCATCTTGCTTCTATTACTGTTAGAATATGTTGAATCTCATTATACCTGAGTTATGGTGATTAAATACTAGTATGAAACGTGATTTTATTTGACTATGTTGAAATCAAATTGGAATAACTTTGCAAAATCGTAAGTCTAATGTTGAATCCAGAAAATAGGCTTATTCTTTAATTGCCTTCCTTGTATGCATATCTTCATATTACATGCTTAATTTTCTTGTCAGTCAAGAATACACAGACACACTTCTGGAAAATAATCACAGGAGTCGGTTACAAAAGTAAAAGAAACAGCAGTTTGTGGAGTTCAGACAGTGCGGTGTAGATATAAGCAGTAGTTGTCTATGACAGCCCTGCCGCAAACAACTAGAGTTTCTGATGTCTGCCAGAATACTGTCTTTGCATCCACTACTTTTGAAGAATCTAAGGTGTTTTTCTAGAGAGAAAAATAAATACTGTGATGCTTTTGATTAAGACTATAAACTTGAAGGAATTGGATGTTCTCAACAGTCCTCTTCATTGCCTATCACTTAGTAAGTATAAACACCATGAACCTTGGATTAAACTCCTCTTCATCAATTTCTGAAAAGAAATATTTAAAGCTAGAAACATGTATTCTAAATATAATCACTCAGTGAGTTCTACCTCAAAACTAATTAATGAACCTCAGTTATTTTTTCCATCTTTTCCCCAGTTAGTTATTTCTAATAGAGATGAGATATCTATTATATATCTCTGACCTTTGAAGGCTTTCATGCTATTTTTCTGAGAATCCATGCAATTACAGTGGATGAAAAATGTTGAGTACTGGGAATTCTAAATAGTTTTAGGTTGACATACTTTAACAGAGAATTTAGGGGAACAATCATTTATCAAATTAATCTTGGAACAAACCCTATTAATCTGAATTGTGCTCATTTTCAGAGAACTATTGCAAATGTGATCCTGCTCGTCAACATATGAATACAGAAAAGAAGTCATGTCAGTCTAATGAGCTTAGCAAAGTCCTTCATGACCCCTCTACATGTGCACTTAAAAATACAAGTGAAACTACACAAAACGGTAATAACTGCAGATGCAGTAATCACAGTGATGCCTCTGTTGACTCATCAAACCTAGATAGACATGACAGCATGCACACTGGAGAAGAACCTTGCAAATCTAGAGGCTGTGAGGAATCTTTAAATATGTGTTCTAGCATTACTCAAGCTCAGAGACTCTACGCTGTAAAGAAAGACAACAGGCAGGAAGAATATGATGATCATTTCAGCTCTGCATACAGTCTTTTGCAACAACCAATCTACATTGGAGAGACACCCCACCAATGTGCAAAATGCAGGAAATGCTTCAGTAGTGCCTCATGCCTCACAGTACATGAGAGAATTCATACTGGAATTAAACCCTACAAGTGCAATGTTTGTGAAAAGTCCTTTACTCAGTGGTCAAGTCTTAAAACACATCAAAGACTTCATACTGGGGAGAAACCTTACAAATGCAAAGAATGTGGAAAGTCATTTCCTCAATTATCAGCATTTAATAGCCATCAGAAAAGGCATACTGGAGAGAAACCTTACAAATGTAAGGAATGTGACAAATCCTTTGCCCACTATTCCAATTTCAAGAGACATCAGAAAATCCATACTGCTAGAAGACAGTATACTTGTCAAGAATGTGGCAAAGTCTTTCATCAATTTTCACACTTTAAAAGCCATTACAGACTCCACACTGGAAAGAAGCTTTACAAATGCAATGACTGTGAGAGATCCTTTCCCCATTGTTCATCACTGAGCAGGCATAGGAAAACTCATTCTCTAGAGAAGTTTCACAAGTGCAAAGACTGTGGTAAGTCCTATTTTGTATTATCACACCTTAAGAGGCATTACAGAATCCATACTGGTGAAAGGCCTTACAAATGTGAGGTGTGCGACAAGTCCTTTACTTGGAAATCAAATCTTAGAACACATCAGAGAGTTCATACTGGGGAGAAACCTTACAAATGTATGGAATGTGACAAGTCCTTTACCAAACATTCAGACCTTAAAAGACATCAGAATGTTCACACTGGGGAGAAACCACACAAATGTATGAAATGTGAGAAATCCTTTACCCAGTACTCACACCTTAGAACACATCAGAGAGTTCATACTGGAGAGAGACCTTACAGTTGTCAGAAATGTGACAAGTCTTTTTCTCACTCTTCTGGTTTAAGGAGACATCAGAAAATCCATAATGGAGAAAAACGACACAAAACCAAAGACTGACATATTCTTTAAACAGAATTTGAATCTTAGAAGACATTAGAAAATTCATACTGGAAATTCATACTGGAGAGAAACACACCATTGTAAATAATGTGACCTAACATTTTCCTGGTATTTTTCACTTAAAAATCACAACAGAAAACATACAAAATAGAAACATAAAGATAAGAAAATTGTGAAAGTCTTTTTTATTATTTTTAGTCTTATACTACAGAAATTGGAAGTTTATTTTCTATAATGTACCTTTTTCATAATGATATCTTCATCTTCATAGAATATGTACCACATGATCCCATTCCATTTGAATGTAGACAGTGGTAGTATAAAGTTAACATCAACCATTTTTTCATAATAAAATAATTCTTTAGCCTGGCATGGTAGTCTGTACAGGCACATAATCGTAGCACTTGGGAGGTGGAAGCAGAAGGATCAGGAGTTCAAGGCCAGCCTTAGCTATGTAGTAAGTTCTCAGCCAGCCTGAACTGTATGACATACTTTTTCATGAAGATGATTTTTTGACTGCCTGCCAGTATCTGTCTGTCTGTCTGTCTGTATTGTGATTATATGCACCAAGAATTATTCTCTTATCTCCCTTCTTCTCTCCTTGAATGGCTTTTCTTTTTTGACTTTTACTGATTCTTTTTTATAATATAAAATAAATATTTTTTATTGTTTTTATTGAGCTTTATATTTGTCTCCACTCCCTTCCCTACCTTTCCCTCTCATTCTACCATCTCCTGTGATCCTCAAGCTCCCAATTTACTCAGGAGATCTTGTCTTTTTCTACTTCCCATGTACATTAGATCCATGTATGTCTCTTTTAGGGTCCTCTTTGTTGTATAGTTTCTCTGTGGTTGTGATATGTAGGCTGCTTTCCTTTGCTGTATGTCTAAAAGCCACTTATGAGTGAATACATATTATATTTGTCTTTCTGGATCTTGGTTACCTCCCTCAATATGGTGTTTCCTAGATCCATCCATTTGCTTGCCGATTTAAAGATCTCATTTTTTTCTGCTGCATAGTACTCCATTTTGTAAAGGTACCACATTTTCTTTATCCATTAATTGGTCAAGGGAGCATTTTAGTTGTTTCCAGTTTCTGGCTATTACAAATAATGCTGCTATGAACATAGCTGAGCACATGTCCTTGTGGTATGATTGAGCATCCTTTGGCTCAGACCTGATCCTTCTGAGGTTGTTTACTTGTACCCTGTGAATGTTTTTAATGAAGGTTTAAGTATTAACAAATATCCTCGAGTTTATATTAAAATTCTTCAAATGTAGCAGTGGGAAAAGCTTCTCTTTTTCTTTTAATGTGTATGAATGCTTTGCCTGAAAGTATGTCTGCACTACACATATGCCTGATGAAGACAGAGGATAGAAGAGTCATTAAAGCCCCTGAAGCAGGAGTTACAAATCATTGTGAACTGTTGTGCATATGTTGGGAACTGAACACTTGTCTTCTGAAAGATCAACCACTGCTGTTACACACTTCAAGACTAAGCCATGTCTTGAGCCCTGGTTAAATATGTGTGTGTGTGTGTGTGTGTGTGTGTGTGTGTATGTGTGTGTGCGCATATATAGACATACACACACATATATGTATATATAATAAAAATATTTGTATTTAACATCCAAAAATTCATAATAATGCCAGATGTGGGGTGGTATACTCCTTTGTTCCCATCACTCAGAATGCAGAGGCAAGAAGATCTCTGTGAGTCAGGACATCATCATCTACATCCTGAATTCCAGGACAGCCAGGAGTACATAAACTCTTTGTCAAAAACAAAAATAGCAATCCCCATCAAAATCCCAGCAAAATTCTTCACAGACCTCAAAAGAACAATACTCGACTTCATATGGAAAAACAAAAAAATGCAGGATAGCTAAAACAATCTTGTACAATAAAGGAACTTCTGGAGGATTCACAGTCCCCAACTTCAAACTCTACTACAGAGCTACAGTACGGAAAAAAGCTGGTATTGGCATAAAAACAGACAGGAGGACCAATGGAACTTGATTGAAGACCGGATATCAATCAATACACCTATGAACACCTGATTTTTTTCTTGAAAGAAGTATCTTCAACAAACGATGCTGGCATAACTGGAAATCAACATGAAAATGGATCCATATCTATCCCCATGCACAAAACTCAAGTCCAAATGGATTAAAGACCTCAACATAAAACCAATCATACTGAACATCATAGAATAGAAAGTGCAAAGTATACCTCAACGTGTTGGCACAGGAGACCACTTCCTAAATATAACCATAGTAGCACAGACACTGAGAGAAACGATTAATAAATGGGACCTCCTGAAACAGAAGCTTTGGTAAAGCAAAGGACACAGTCAAAAAGACAAAACGACAGCCTACAGAATGGGAAAAGATACTCACTAACCCCACATTGGACAGAGTACTGATCTCCAAACTATACAAAGACTCAAGAAACTGGTCATCAAAAGAACAAATAATCCAAAAAAAAAAAAATGTGGTACAGACTTGAACAGAGAACTCTCAACAGAGGAATCTAAAATGCTTGAACGACACTGAAGGAAGTGCTCAACATTCTTAGCCATCAGAGAAATGCAAATCAAAACAACTCTGAGATTCCATCTTACACTTGTAAGAATGGCCAAGATCAAAAACACTGATGACAGCATATGCTGAAGAGGTTGAGGGGTAAAGGGAACACTCCTCCATTGCTAGTGGGAGTATAAACTCGTACAGCCCCTTTGGATTTCAGAATGGCGAAACAACCTACCTCAAGACCCAGAAATATGCTTAATCATACCACAAAGACATGTGCTCAACTATGTTAATAGCAGCATTGTTTGTCACAGCCAGAACCTGGAAACAACCTAAATGCCCTCTTCTAGCGAAATGTGGTACCTTTACACAATGGAGTACTACACAGAAAAAAAAAAAGACATCTTTAAATTTGTGGGCAAATGGGTAGATCTAGAAAACATTATATTGAGTGAGGTAACCCAAACCAAGTAAGACAAATATCATATGTACTCATTTTTAAGTGACTTTTAGACATAAAGCAAAAAAAAAAAAAATAGAAAAGAAATTCACAATCCCAGAGAACCGAGACAACAAAGAGGACCCTAAGAGAGGTGTACGTGGATCTAATGTACATAGGAAGTAGAAAAAGTCAAAATCTCATAAGTGAATTGGGAGCCTGGGGACAATAGGAGAGGATAGAAGGGGAGGGGATCAGAGAAAAATTGTAAGAAAGTAATATAAAAATATGGCAACATCTTCAGTTTTCACTCTAATTGTTCTATACACTTCAAAATCATGCTTCTGAGAAACCATATAAAGGTATAGAATATATACTCCCCATGTCTTTCTGTCCATGGAATTTATACCTCTCCAAATGTATTGAATTGACAAATCCTTTACATAGTGCTGAAATTTCAGAGATAAAAGCAAATTCATCATTAAAGAAAACACTGTGATAAATTCTTAGGTTGTATTCATCTTCAAAATCTTCATAGAAGAGTCAAACCACTTGGGTTCAAAATGATAGGCTCCTATGTAGCTTGTTTGTGGTCATATCATTTGGTTGACCTTTCAGTATTCCCCTCTTTTGCCTACTACTCTACATTCTGCTGCCAGGATACCCACTTTCGAATCTCCTATCACCTATATTCTACACTCCAACCCCTCTTCCTGCAACTCTCCATTAATGGTCCCTTTCTAGAATCCTGGCTTCTACATGTAGTCTTACTAAAACACACAAAACAAAGTTTGTAGCTTAGATGCATATGTGAGAGAACATGTGATGTTTGACTTCTGTGGCCTAGGTTTCTGAACTTGTCATCATTTCCTGTTACCTATATGTACATCTATATTTCACACTTTCATTTTTATTTAACCTGAATAATATGCTAGTTTAGAGAGGTAAGAATCACAGTTTCCTTTACCCATGTTTTAGTTCGTGGACATATATAGGTTGATTCCATTTCCTAGATACAGCCAATAACACATCATTGAACATCATGGGCAAGTGCTCATTGGTAAGATGGCAAGTCGTTGGAGTTTATGTCCATGAGTGGTTATTGTGTATTAGCTTCCTCTTCAATTAAATCCTTCCATTTTGGAAGAATCTCCTTAAAGCACAGGGCATGGCTAGGCAGTCATGGTGCATGCCTTTAATCCCAGCATTTGTGAGGAAGAGGCAGGTAAATCTCTGTGAGTTTGAGGTCAGCCTGATCTACAAAACAAGTTCCAGGATAGCCAAATCTACACAGAGAATCCCTGTCTCAAAAAACAGCAAAACGGGGGCTGGAGAGATGGCTCAGTGGGTAAGAGCATTTCCTGCTCTTCCAAAGGTCCTGAGTTCAATTCCCGGCAACCACATGGTGGCTCACAACCATCTGTAATGAGGTCTGGTGCCCTCTTCTGGCCTGCAAACATACACACAGACAGAATATTGTATACATAATAAAAATAAATATTTTCAAAAAACAACAAAACAAAACAAAAGAAAATCAACCAACCAACCAACAAACAAAAAACCAAAACATACAGGGCATGAAAAGAGAGGTAAAGGAATAGGATGTTCTAATGGTTCTCATGCTTCCTGATGTTGCAGCCCTTTAATTCAGTACCTCATGTTGTGGTGACCCCCGTTCATAAAATTATTTTGCTATTTCATGACTGTAATTTTGATACTGTTACGAACTGTAATGTAAATATATCATATACAGGGTATCTCATATAAGACCCCAAAGGGACCATGACAGAAGGGGTGAGAGACACTGCTGTCAGGTGAGGTGATAAATTCAGTCCTGCACAGGAATTCTGGAAGCTTAGGAATAGAAAACTTCATAATTTTGAGAAATCATAGAAACTGACATATACTGAAGACCAGTGGTGACATGAAGCCTTGTGAACTTACTACTAGATTCTCGAACTTTCTGTTCACAGAGATCGTTGTTTGATTAGCTAGACAGCAGGTCATTCATATGAATTCCCTTTATATGTGTATAATATGTATGTATTATAACATGTATGTATTACACATCATGTATGATATGCATAATATATATGATACACCTCATATATTACATGTATAACATTACATATAATGACATATATGTGTGTGTATATATATATACACACAAAATGTGTGTGTGTGTGTGTGTGTGTGTGTGTGTGTGGAGAGAGAGAGAGAGAGAGAGAGAGAGAGAGAGAGAGAGAGGTTCATTCTATCAGTTCTGTTACTCTAGAAAACCCTGAATAATACACAAGGATTCACAATCTCACGGCAAACTTCTTGATGTTCTGACTTTTACAACCTTTATACCCCCTTCTTCAAAAACTTTCCTTTAGCCTTATATTCAGGAGTGTTTTACATATGTATCCATTGGGCCTGGCATCCATGGTGGTGATATTTCATTTATGATCTAACAAAACTTGCCTAAGAATCAGAACACAGCGCTAGTGGCACTAGCTTGTCATATAGATCCAGGTAGTGGTGGCACCTTTAATCCCAGCACACTGAGTCAGAGGGAGGTGGATTGCTGTAGTTCAAGGCTACCCTGGGATACATGAAACTAGTCCAGTCTAAAAGAGAAGCAGAGCTCACACAAAGGTAATCCCAGCACTTGGGATCACATGCCATTAATTCTAGCACTAAGGTGGTGGTGACAGGAGTGATATGGCTGGGCAGAGAGAGGAATATAAGGTAGGTGGAGATAGGAGCTCAGTGTAGTCTGAGGAAGCAGTCAGAACAGGATCTACCCTTTGATCTAAGCATTGATAGAGGTAAAAACCCTCTCGCTGCTGTGTTTCTCTGACCCTTCTGGTTTCACCTTCTGATAGATGACTCCAAGTTTTTATTATTAATACCAATTAGAATTCATGCTACAATTCACAACTCTCCATTTTGATTACTTGTTGTTTATTTGTAATGGTCTAGGTTACAAAGAGATGATGGGTGAAGACTATGCTTATCTATGGGTATAAGGAAAATGTTTACATTTTTTTAGGGATTATGTTGGTTTAGTAAAGTGTTTCTCCTTCAAGATTTATGGCTTTACCAGCACTGAGTAGTTAACCACTGAGTAGTTGGTAATCAGTCATAGTTCCTCTTTTGTTAAGAATTTCTTAAGTCCAACTAGAGAGCTATTGGTTACTATCAAGGTAATCTTGCAGCTATTGCACTCAGGGTTATTGTACCATAATGAATATTGATGTGGTTCATAGGCATCCTAGCAGGATAAGACTGTCCATTAGCTTCTATTTTTGGAGGACTGAATGGTGCTTCTGGTACCATGCAGGCTACTCTTAAGAGAGAAGTTATATTTATTTTGAGCCAAGGACTCTGTGTTTATTACCAGTTGTCATAGACTCATTATGAACACCAGGCTGTCCATGACTTCAGCTTTCCTTGCCCCTGCCCTCTGAGTGATGGGATTAAAGGCTTGCATATCATTGTAAACTGCACATAACATTTTATTATCATGTCATTACAGCCTAGTTGATAGACATGATTAAACAAGTAGATCTTATTTTTACTGATATTAAAGGCCTCCAATTCACTGAATTGGACACTCTAATTGAAATATATGAGTTCCCAGATCCACATAACATATTGATAGGAATCTCTCAGAACTTCAAAGAAGAACAGCAAGCTTCATAAAATGAATTGAAACAAAAAGGAAGACTTCTGGACTCTTAGTAGTACCTGGTATTAAAACAGAAAATGATACAACCAAAGTGAAATTAAAAAATTTTTCTATTATGGGCTCACTCTCTCATCTCTGTCACACATGCACAAATGTGTGTGTGTGTGTGTGTGTGCGTGTGCGTGTTTCATATACTGCCCATTTTCATTTCATATCTCTCTACTATCCTGGTCCACAATTATAATAAATCTTTGCTTGGGATCCCCTCAGGTTAACCAGAGACAACTGTAACAATGTGGGTTTGAAGCTATGTGTTGGAGTCTGGTGGGCTCAGTAAAGGACTAGAACCAAAGGCAATGATTCTTTTCCTCCAATGCAACCATTGCCAATGTTTGACAGGTGAAGGGTGGGGCCCTGTGAGCCTTTCCATTTCCTAGACTGATGGTGGTCTATTGTGAGGTCAATGCAGGTAAATACAGTTGCTGTTGGTTACTGATTACAATAGTTGTATGGAGTCTAGAGAACAGCATGTATTAACCCTTCCTCCTTCCCTTCTTTTTTCTTTTCCTTGTCCTCCTCTATGTTCCCAGAGTCATAGAAGGAAAGGTGCAACTGACATTTTTAAAACTGGGAACACATACCTTACTTATTTTCTGCATCTGGGACATTCATCATTCATCTACATTCATCATTGTATTATTTTTTCCTATATTTTATGTAAAAGTAACTTTAGCATTAGCCACAAAAAGAATTAGAGTTAGTAAAATATCAAAGGCACCTTCTAGGGGTGAGAGCAGTACAAAACGGGATGAACTCACTACTGGGCCGTTAGTAATGGGGAGACCACTGACTTCTGGATTTGCCTATTTCTTTTTAAAATCCAACTTTTTGAAATGTCTCTTCCCAAGGCACAACAATTGCAGTGTTTGGTTTTGGCTTGTCATGTTTGTGATGGGGATGGGACGCTGACATCTGAATTTAGCCTGTTATCATTTGGTGTAAGTAGGTAACTGGGGAGGGTGGTATTAAAGTCAAGGTTTCAGAACTCACTGTGGGCGTCAGATAGGGGGATGCAGTGTCCTCCTAGATCTCTTCTGGTCTAGGATGGCAGCAAGCATGTGCGGAGGCTGTGCAGAGCGGGTCCAGGACATCCTGACAGCTGAAGTTGTGTGGTAGTCATCCTGAGATGCCCCAGGTGTTACAGGTTTTAGTGGGTCTGAGACACTCAACCAGAAACAGACACTGGGAGGGTGTGGTCCATTGGCTGGATTTAGGGAGTGGGAGGATTTGGAGGAGTGACGTAAACGGAAGCTGGGACACAAAGTGAGCGCGGGGAAATTGAAGAAAAATCAAGGTCGACAGAGCTGAGGGTCCATTTCCTGTCTGTGCTCAGGGGCTTGCACCTTCGGGAAGCTCGTGGTGCAGACTTTGGAGAGGAGGACACGACGGGGTGCCGTGGGAAAACGAAAGCCCCTGCCCCCCTCCCCCCCCCCCGGAGCCTCAGTCACCGAGCGGGGCGGCCTGGGAAAGTCAGCACCGCAGTGGCGGGAACTGCAGCCCGGGAGCCCTGGAACCTCCCAGGTCAGAGGAGCTGCGGGGCTGGGACATAGGAGGGAAGGGCCCAGGGGTGCGAGCAGTTACTGAGATGTTCATTTATCTCAGAAACTGGTTCTGAAGTTCTGTAGTGTATGTCTTACCTTGGTATATTTTAGATCACAAGGAATAAGCCTTTTTATTTTTTAATTGGTTTTCTGCCAAAATATTTTTTGTAAAAATAATCTAATAGAATATTTAAATATACCTGTTAAGATTTGCAAGCATGATTCTCGTTGCAATGGTAGAAACAACAAAGCTTTTGAAATTTACAAGCATGCATACTAACTTACATGTTATAACACTTCCCTACTCAAGAGACTGGCACATTTACCTGGAGACTTGGATTCGCCAGAGCTTTTACATAATAGTCATGAAAGGAATGCCTGGAAATTTCATTGAATCTTAAAGTGTTATGCCCAGACCGTGAAGTCCCCCCAAAACCAACAAGGAGACCGAGTCCCGTATGTAAGAGCAAAGAACCTTTATTTTATACAAGTTTGCAAACTCGGTCTCTCCGTGTATCCGATGTATTGGAATAATCGGGGAGCCCTGAGCTCAGTTAGAGTTGGGTTTTTAATAGTAGTAATGGTGAGGGTGAGGGATTTCTAAGGTTCAGGATCCTTAATTGGCTGACATTTGCCTAGGGGTGTCCTGGTGAAAAGCGATGAGTGTGTGCTGGCAGGTATTTATCTATTCTTCACATGAAATTCATTATTGCCATGTTCTTCTGACTTTCCTGTGTATGTTTTGCCTCGAATTTATTATCTGCAGTACTGCTTTAGTGAAATGAACTATGACTCTCTAGAATCCAGTTATGTCTCCATCAATTTTTAAAAGTGTCGTTTTCTTTGTGCAACAGAATGCTTGATGGTGATTTTCTCTTCAAGTTTCGAATTTCTTTCCATGTTCTCTTGTCTTTGGAATCATTGACCAGACAACTGGTAGAATTCTGTTGCTTGGTTCTTTTCATGTGGTTTGCCATTGTTCTTTAACAGATTTCAGTATTAATTTTTGCTTTTCTTTTTTTGCCCCCTGAAATGAAAGGGAAACAAGCCATCTATTTATTTTATTTCACTGAAAGAGAAACTCAAAGAAGGGAAATAGTAAGAAATGACTGATTCTCCAGTAAACATGTCACAGGTCAGTGGTCCTTTCCTCTCTTTATCAAAACATGTTATGCTTAAATATATTGAAAGCCTTTAATCTTCCGCTTCTGCTAATTTTTAAAAAATTTATTATGAATAATTCTGTAAACAGCCAAACAACAAAAATCACACACTGAAATTAAGCAGACCCAAAGGTGATACAATTTAAAGTACTTTTATGTTAGAGTCACCATAGGGAATGCAAACTCTGGAACCTCACATACAATTTTATATTTTAACAGCCAGATACATTGATTTACTTATCCACCACCAGAATCTAACTAGGAAAGCACTTAGCTTTATATCGTTTTTCATAACTGCTATTCATTACCTGCATTCAGTCCCTGATAATTTAACTTTTTCTGTTTTCTTTTTTCCATGTTGTACTATGCCTACATACATTGTTCTATATACATATATTATTGGGTAGAATCTGCATTTGAGCAAACGTGGTATCTTCTTTATAAAAGTATATGACCACACTTAATATTACAAATTTTGGATTTATTGGTTTTTCTGAAAATTTTTATTATATTTTATCTCTTCAGCTGAATAGTACTCTATTTTATACAATTTTCATTATCCATTCATCTTTTGATAGATAATTAATTTCATTTCAATACTTTTCCTCTGTGAATAAAACAGAAGTAGACATGGGGTATAAATATCTCTGTAGTGTGGTGTATTATTCTTTGGGTATATGGCCAGGAGTGAAAGAGCTGGGTCATGTTAGTTCTTGTTTCAATTTTTTCAATAATCTCCAAATTTATTCCTATAGTATGTGTTTTAATTTGTACCGTCCTCTTCATCAACAGTGAATAAAGCTTCCTTTCTCTCCATTAGTCATAAATTTTTATTGTTGGGTTAGTTAATGAAAGCCATTCTGCCTGTGGTAAGGCAATATTTTGAAGTGAATTTATTTTGCTTTCTGTGATGGCCTGAATATTTTTTAGATACTGAATACTTATGCAATATTTATTGGTCCATTTCAGTGGTTTTTAGTCTTTGAAAAATATCTATTTCATTCACTTCAGCATTTGTTGAGTTACAGTTTTATTTCCTCAATATTTAGTTAATTTAATTTTTGGTAAATTCTTGCTCTGAGCATTATCCAAAATTTCACTGGTATAGATTCTCTTAGCTATACTTTAAACATTTTTAGATGTGTTTTTGGACTTCCCTCAGTTTTTATTACCCTTTGGGAGTGAATTGAAATAGTCTTCAAAACTTCTTAAATTGTTGTCTCATTTGGCTTATGCATATCCTTAGGGAAATTTTGGATTATATCAAATATCGCTGATCCTGATTTTCCTATTTGTTCATAGTGGCACAATCATTCTCATAAAATTAATTCCATAGAACACTTATATGTTGATGTTAAATATCACAGTATGTAGTGGTGTCACAGTCCCTTCCGCTGTGGAAAAATCTCCTTTATCTATTTATTTACTTATCCACCACCAGAATCTAACTAGGAAAGCACTTAGCTTTATATCGTTTTTCATAACTGCTATTCATTACCTGCATTCAGTCCCTGATAATTTAACTTTTTCTGTTTTCTTTTTTCCATGTTGTACTATGCCTACATACATTGTTCTATATACATATATTCTGTTGTATATATATGTATACATATATATAATATACATATATTCTATATACATATATAGACCTATATTCTGTCTTCCACACTACCCTCTTGCTACTTATTGGTGTGTCATTGTACATAGAGTTTAAACATCCCACCTAAGCTTGTTAGAATAGTTGTGTAAGGCACAAATACATATGTGATTGTTTTACTGTCAGTGTTTTAGCATGATCTACAGGTACAACATTTAAAGCATATTTTCTCATCATAATTTTTCCTTCTGAGACACGTCTGCTGTGATCCTGTGTAATGTAAACACAACATCCGTGACAGATAAACTGTGTCCAGGCCTTAAATATATTTCCTGTTTCATGAATACTGTAAGAATATTTTGTTACCAAGTTTCCACAGAGTTAAAACTTTCATAATGGAATGTGACTGTATTGCAAATTATATTTTGCTCATCTACATTCCACCTCCTTATATTCAAAAAAGCACCCTATGCTTTGAGGTAGCACATGGTCAAACCATCCGTTTTTGTTTCAGGGCCTGTTGACATTCCGGGATGTGACTGTGAACTTCTCAAAAGAGGAGTGGGAATGTCTGGACTTTACTCAGAGGGCTTTGTACATCGAGGTGATGTTAGAGAATTACAAAAACTTGCTGTTTGTGGGTGAGAGCATTTTGTTTATAGAATTCCTAACCCATCTTTTGTTTGTTCTCACTTTATAGGATGTAAAATCTTGTCAGCTGTCCTGAAAAAAACAACAGGAAACATTATTTAGTCTAATTTAGCAAAATTTTGTAGTAGGAAAGAACTTTTTCATGCTACTTAGTTTTGTCTTTCCAGTTTCCATTTCAGAGATGCCATCCACCCCTCAATATGGTTCCAAGATTCATTCATAAACTCAGTAGCATGTAATATTTCCATCCATACCTTAAAGTCCCATTCATTTTTATTTCAATTGATATTTTTATTTTAATTGTGAGATACATTCAAGATATACAAACTGAGAAGATTAAATACTGAAGAATTTGACAAAAAGTATAAATTGATAAACCTTGCCTAAATTCCTCTGCTTTGTGTTTTCATGTATTAAGTGCAGTACTATCTTAGACTTTTGTATTCTTTCTAAAAGTTCTTGTATGGGTAATGGGCTACCTCAAAGAACATGGAGATTATGTATGCAAGGTAGGCATGGCCACTTATCTGAAAAGAATGAAGTGAGAGAGGAAAGAGTAGTTACAACTATGGTGGGCTAATGAATGAATAGGAGAACAATGAAGACTTCAAGTGAAAGAGAAATCAAGAGTTGAAAATGTTGTGATGTTCAATTCCACTTGAAAGAATTCCCGATTACTAATTTAGTGTAGTATCCTGGCCCCAGAATGCATCCTTCCTGTTGTAACTGTTAGAAGATGTTGTGTTAAGTCTAATGTGAGCTCATGAAGTAGGATTAGTCTGTAATTGCCTTCATTGTATGCATATCTACATATTACATCCTTCATTTTCCTGCCAATAGAGAGCACACAGACATTCTTCTGGGAAATAATCTCAGGAATCGGTGTACAGAGTGACAGGAGAATAATCCTATGAGGAAAGTTAAAAAATAAAGCAGTGTGTGGAGTTCAGACAGTTGAGTGTAGAAATAGGCAATAGTTGTCCATGACAGCCCTGCCTCAAATGACCTAGAGCCTCTGATGTCTGCCAGAGTCCTGTCTTTGCACCCATTACTTTTTAAGAATCTAATGATTTTTTTTTTCTAGAAAGAAATAAACCCTCTGATGCTTTTTAAGTAAGACTTTAATCTTTAAAGGAATTGGGTCTTCCCAACAGTATTCTTCATTGTCTATCACTTAGTAAGTGCAAACACTGTGAACCTGTGATTAGGTTAGACTCTTCATCAGTTTCTCAGAAGAAATAGTTTAAGATAGAGACATGTGTTCTAAACATAATTACTCAGTGAACTTTATCCCAAAGCTAATTCACATCCCTCAATTATTTTTTCCATCTTTTTTCCAATTAGAGATTTTTGGCAAAGATAAGAAATCTGTTGTAAATAACTGACCTTTGAAGACTATCATGCTACTTTTGTGAGAATCCATACAATTACAGTTAATGAAACATGCCCATTACTGGGAGCTCTAATCCATATAGTTTCAGGTTCACTTATCTTAAAATAGAACTTAGGGAGACAGTCATTTATCATATGTTGATTATTGAAACTCTATTAATCTGAATTGTACTCATTTTCAGAGAACTGCAAATGTGATCCTGTCCATCAACATGTGAAGACTGAAAATCAGTCTTGTCAGTGTAATGAGCTTGACAAACTGCTTCATGATCTCTCCATGTGTGCAGTTTATAGGACAAATGAAACTTCAGAAAACTCTAATAACTATAGATGCAATAGTCACAGGGATGCCTCTGTTAGCTCATCAAACAAAGATAGACATGAAAGCATGCACACTGGAGAAGAACCTTGCAAATCTAAAGACTATGAGAAAGCATTAAATTTGTGTTCCAACATTATTCAAGATCAGATACTCTACACTACTAAGAAAGAGCACAAGCAAGGAGAATATGGTGACTATTTTGACTCTACATATAGTCTTTTGCAGCAACCAATCTACATCGGTGAAACACCACACCGTTGTCAGACATGCGCAAAATGCTTCAGGACTTCCTCAGACCTCAGAAAACATGAAAGGATTCATACAGGAATTAAACCCTACAAGTGCAACATTTGTGAAAAATCCTTTACCCAGCGTTCAAGTCTTAAAATACACCAAAGGCTTCATACTGGGGAAAAACCTTACAAATGCAAAGAATGTGGAAAGTCATTTCGTCAATTGTCAGGAATCAATAGCCATCAGAAAACACATACAGGAGAGAAGCCTTACAAATGTAAGGAATGTGACAAGTCCTTTGCACATTATTCCAGTTTCAGGAGACATCAGCGCTCACACTTTAAAAGCCATTACAGACTCCACACTGAAGAGAAACTTTACAAATGCAATGACTGTGACAGATCCTTTCCCCACTATTCATCACTGAGTAGGCATAGGAAAACTCATTCTCTAGAGTTTCACAAATGCAAAGAATGTGGTAAGTCCTTTATTAAATTATCACAGCTTAACATGCATTACAGAATTCATACTGGTGAAAGGCCTTACAAATGTGAGGTGTGTAACAAATCCTTTACTTGGAAATCAATTCTTAGAACACATCGGAAAATGCATACTGGGGAGAAACCTTACAAATGTAAGGAATGTGACAAATCCTTTACTGAACAGTCATATCTTAGAAGACATCAAAGTGTTCACACTGGAGAGAAACTTTACAGATGTATGGAATGTGACAAGTCTTATACCAGCTGCTCATATCTTAGAGCACATCAGAAAATTCATACTGGAGAGAAACTTCCTAAGTGCAAATACTGTGAAATATCCTTTATTCATATTTCAAGTCTTAGAAAACATCAGAAACTTCATACTGGAGAGAGACCTTACAGTTGTAAGGAATGTGACAAATCCTTTACCAGTTCCTCAAATCTCAGAAGACATCAGAGTGTTCACACTGGGGAGAAATCATACAAATGTATGGAATGTGAAAAGTCCTTTTCTCAGGACTTATATCTTAGAGAACATCAGAGAGTTCATACTAGAGAGAGACCTTACAGTTGTCAAAAATGTGCCAAATCTTTTTCCCAATCTTATGATTTAAAGAAACATCAGAAAATTCATACTGGAGAGAAACTTCACAAATGCAAAGACTGACATATCCTATATCCATATTGCAAGTTTTAGAGTAAATCAGAGAGTTCATACTGGAGAGAGACCTTACAGTTGAAAGGACTGTAACAAATCCTTTTCCAGTTTCTCAAATCTTAGAAGACATCACTGTGTTCACACTGAGGAGAAACCCTACAGATGTATGGAATGTGACAATTTCTTTACCAGAGATCCATAATTTAGAAGGTATCAAAAAATTCATACTGACAAGAGAACAGTATGAATGGATATGTGACAAATCCTTTTTCCACTCTTATGGTTTAAGGAGATATCAGAAAATTCACAATGGAGAGAAACCACACAGATGCAAAGACTGAGGCATCCTTTATCCAGATTTCGAATCTTAGAAGATAACAGAAAATTCATACTGGAGAGAAACATACCATTGTAAATAATGTGATATAGCATTTCCCAGTATTCTCTACTTAAAAATTGCAACAGTATTTAATAGAATACTGTATTCTATTATATAAATAATATAAATAATATTACATATAAATAATATGTATTTATATGTATTAATAATGTAATATTAATAAATATTAAATAATATTTATATGTAAATATAGTATTTAATAGAAACATAAAGATACAAAACACATGAAAGTCTTTAATGAAGGTTTACATTTTAAACAATATCCTAGAGTTTATATTAAAATAAACTTCTGCAAATGCAATAGTATGAAAAGCTTATTTCTTTTAATGTGTATGCATGCTTTGCCTGTAAGTATGTCTGTGTACTACGTGGATGCCTGGTGCAGGAGGAGGACAGAAGGGGTCATCAGATTCCCTGAAGCTGGAGTTATAGGCCATGGTGAATTGCTATGTCTGTGTTGGGAATTGAACACTGGTTTTCTGCAAGAGCATCCAATGTTTTTACCCACTAAGCTATGTTTCCAGCCCTCTAGTAAAAAATGTACTAAAAACATGTATTTTTTCAACATTCAAAACTCATAGTGTCAGATGTGATGGGGCAGTCCTTTATTCTCATCACTCAGGATTCAGAGGAAAGAAGATGTCTGTGATTCAATGCACATACTGACTTGTGGGACACCCAGGTCTTCATAAACTTTTCAAAAACAAAACAAAATCTTAATAAAGTATCATAAAATGATAAAACCTTTAGTTTTCCCTCTAATTGTATTATACATCACAAAATTCATATGTCTAAGAAACCATATAAAGATAGAAAGTAAACACTTCCCGTATCATTCTGTCCATTTTAATTACACCTTTCCAAATGCATTGAATTTGACAAATCCTTTACAAAGTGCTGAAATTGCAGAGATAAAATATTTATCATTAAAGAAAACACCCTGATAAGTTATTTTATTCACCTTCAAATTCTTCATGCTAGAGTCAAACCATACAAATAGCAAGAAAGTAACTAACTGTGAAGAGATAGGGTGTGAATGTGACATCACTGGAATGCTGGCAATTCACTGGAATTCAGAAATCCCCAAAGGCTAAGGGTGTTGTGACAAGCACCTTTAATTTCAGTCCTCTGGATGCAGAGGAAGGTATATCCCTGCGAGTTCTAGGTCACTATTGTTTACAATATAAAGTTCAAGTCAGTCTTGGCTGCACAGGGAAACCCTATCCCAAAGAAGAAGAAAAAAAAAGCCTTGAGAACATGCTGAAATTAATCTTGAAATACTTAAGTGGAGGCCCAAAAATGTGAGCCTATTTCCACCTTGTCTGAAGGTCAGAGAGTTTTAGCTTGTTCAAAGTGGACAACAAATGTGGCTACACATTCTGACATAGGGTGTGATTATTTGGTTCTTTTGACATTAAGATGACCCATACAGTAGGTCCCTGAGTGGCTGCAGCAGGGAGCAGGCCATGAAACCACGCTGCAGGTTCCTGAAGAAGTGGCAGCCAGTCCCAGGCAGGGATGGCAGAGTTCCACAAGTGGTTGCAGTCGGCCACAAGGGGCAGAGAGTCCCAGGCAGGGAGCCGAATGGTGGGTGAGAGACCTCGACAGGGCAGCCAGTCCCACAAGGAGAGATGGATGGGCATGCCACGAGACCACACCATAGGTCTCCAAAGGTGGCTGGTCCGGGGCAGGACGTGATATGTGGGTGAGAGACAGATAGATAGGCATGCCATGCAGAGTGAGGTTGGATATTTATTTAGTGGGTTATGGAGGGTAAAAGGGAGAAGGGGGAAGAGCAGAGAGAGAGAAAGGAACAGAGCGGGGAGAAGAGAGAGACAACAAAGGAAGGGACTCAGGCTGGAAACTGAAGATCAGCTTGCCTTGGAGGACAGGGGAGGGAGTGGGTGTGGCTTGTCTCTTAGAGGGACAGAACAGACCATTTCACACCCCAACACAGATGAAGCAGAAGAAAATGACCTTAAAAAAAAACTTTAGGAAAATGTTTGAGGCCCTTAAAGAGGAAATGAAACATTTCCTCAAAAAAGTAGAGGAAAAGGCAAACAAAAAATTGGAAGAAAAAGTTTATGAGGTAATTGACTTATAAACTTGGAACTTTATATTTTATCTCTGTAAACTTAAGCTTAAAAAATGATGAAGTTGTTTTAATATGGAAATAAAAGTTCTTAACCAGAAATACAATATATAAGGAGATTGGTAATTATGTGTCCTTTTTAATAAATTATGGGATAAGTCAGGCACAGTAAATAGACCAAATATCTCCTTTATGGGTGAAGAAAAGGGAAAGATGTATTTTAAACTGTTATGGAGATAACAGGATAATAGAGAGTACATGTGAGATCAAGATATTTTAAAAATCAGTTTAAAAAAGACATATCTTTTGTGGCTATATTTTTATCTATACCTGTAAAGTGGATGATGTTTAATAAGAAGACTATTAGACAGCTGAAGAAATAGGTCCCTAGTGTTAGACTGAGAGATTTTTAGAGTTAAATGAAAACTGTAGAGTTTTAACTTAAAAATCAAGCAACAGTAGTAAGCTCTTTTAGGCTGGCTGGCTGGAAGGGTCTGGGAAGTGCAGTAGAGTGGCAGGCAGCTGAGATCAGAGCAAGCTGGGACAGACAGGCAATGAAGAGGAGCAAGGAACATGGGGGAGGCACAGAGATGCAGCTAAATGAAGACAGAGTGCAGGCAATCCTCAGCAGAAACACAAAGAGATAATAAGTTTTATAAAGTATGATTTATCTAGTTTTTTTGAATGTCTCCAATCGAGCTGAAAAAAATCCTGTCGAGCATTTGATTTTGAATGGTACCGCTATCTGGGGAACCAGCCTCCAGCAGCACAGGGCTTTGATAGGAATTCATGGAGTCAGTCAAACTAAACTTTTCTATCTTAGGAGAGGTTAAGAAAAAAGGTACTCACAACCTCTCTTAATGTTTTCCTTCTTTATTCCTATTCTTTTTCTCTCTCTCTCCTCTATCTCATGTTGTTTTACAGCTTTTATACCCCAACAGAATCTTCCATACAATTGAAGAGCTAAAACAGTTACATTCTCTTTTTCAAGTGAATGATTATAGGTAAAAACAACTTTTTCATCTTCCTCATATAGTTAAACATATTATGTATTACAGAATGAGGAGTTTGAGAATCTGTAGGTGCAGGCATTGTCAATGAAGCCAGCTTTGGTATTTGAATGAGGAATGGTTAGAGCACCAAACTCCAGGCTGAAGCTCAAATAAGCTTCCTGTGAGACATAGAAAGGAAAGATATTCAGAATAGGCAGGAATCCAAAGTACAAGCCCATAAAACTGGGGGAGAGCGTGACACATTATTGACCCTTGTTTGCATTCTCAGGCAGTCTTTTTAAATGGTTAGTTGGAAGTAACAAAGAACAGCAATTATGAGCATAGCCTTTTGCTGCCTGTATTTTAGGCCCCGAGTAAAATAGCAGCTGGGTTTTTACTTTAAGGGAGGAAGCATAGTTTCCAGTGCCTGTCATTATGTGTTTGAGAGTCTAACTTAAAATTAAATCTTCCAAGGTAAAGATATTTTATGCCAGATTTTGTCAGTATCATCTCTTGAGCTGTCAATCTGAACAATTGCTTGTTGCAGTGTAGATATTGTTTGACCTCTAGTAAGAGAAAAAATTACATAAGGAGAGCACTTAAGGATGGCTGAGGGGAAAAATCACTTATCTTTAACAAAGCATTCACGTCCTTCAAACCAGTAGCTTTCTGCTGGTGGAGACTCTGAAGTTACCAATTTGGGGAAGTGCCTCTGGGATGCTTCCAGAAGGGACCTTTTAAGGTGTCCTCTAAAGGGGACTTCTACTCTACAGTGCAAGGGGGGAGGGTGGCAGACGACTATAGAGATCTCTTGAGAAGCTTGGTCTCTCCAGACAGCTTTCAAACAATTGACATCTCTTTCCTCGGGTGTTCTTGTGTATCTACTTTGTTGTTGTTGTTGTTGTTTTGAGACAGGGTTTCTCTGTGTAACCTTGACTGTCCTGGAACTCACTCTGTAGATCAGGTTTGCCTCAAACTCACAGAGATCTGCCTGCCTCTCCCTCACTTAATTCCCCCAAGTACCAAATTCAGGTGCCAGGTATCAAAAACTTTAAAGGTCTTTCAAAAGAAAGATGCCACAGTAAGCAAAAAAGAACTAAAATCTGAGGGTTAAGAAGTCTACTCACAACATATTTTTTCTATTCATGTCTTTATTGTTCTTTCTTTCTTGTTCCCCACTCTAATTCTTCTGTCCTGTCTACAACTTTTTAGCTCAAATTCTCTGTCTCAACTCTAATCCCACTTTTATTTCTCTGCTACCTTATCTTTCTTCTGCTCTTTCTTTTTTATTGTTCTATCTCTGCAAACTTCTGGGATGCTTCTGCTCTAACTTCTGCTCCAGATTCTGTCCATTTTCTTTGTTCTTACCCAGCTATAAAGACCCACAAAATCTTTCAGGCATAGAGAGTAAACAGGTAACCTATGTAAACAGAAAAGGGCCCTTGGTCTAATAGCACTATTGTTAAATGTTAGTAGACCCTAAGAATTTGAAGTTACATCTTTGCTCTAAACAGATGAGACAAAGAGGAGACCTAAGCCTCTAAATTATCAGGTCAAAGGCATCAATGGAAGTTTGTTTTCTCTGGACTATGAGTAGATGGCTAATTATTTTTCCTGAGAGTAAGATATAAGCAGTAAATCTCCTGAACAAAGAACATCAGTAAACTGAGGTAAAGGTGAGATGAGGTGAGGAGGTAGGATATTTTAATGCAAGATTAGGTTTAGGCCATCACTTTTTTTTTAAACTATAAATGAGATAAACCTAAGGCACACTTATCTTTTCACTCTATGTGAGCAGCTATGAATCAACAGATATGTCCTTGAATATCTGGGAATGTCTTAAGTGGAATACTTTTTCCTGGACCCTAAACATTGACCAAATGCCTGTCAATAAAGATAATTGTAGGAAGGAAGATCTTTATGTTTACATAAAAAAGAAAAACAATGATCTAGAAGATAGGTAGACTGTCTTTACACA